TGCAAAAAGGTCTTTAAGCTTATTCCATCTCCCTAGTATTTATTCTCAAATGCTTTTTATAAACAAGAACTTGGATTCCTTCTTTAGTGCTTTTTTGCTCCCTTAATCTCATTTCTTAAAATATATTTTTAATTCTCCTAATTATCATAGGAGTTCTCCTTCATGACCTTTTTATCTCTCCTGTTGGTGGGTTTGTTGACTTCATTCCTGAACTTCTTAATGACTTCTATATAACGCTTACATGTTCATACTGAAAATACCTTTTTGGATGGTAATGTGATTCTAAGATGCCTTTTCACACCTGCTTTCTATTGATTGTCTTAAAATGGAGCTGTGCACTGTCTTGTCTCTGCTTTCCAATGGTAAGTCTGCAGATTATAGTAGCAGCTCTAGTAATTAGTCTCCTAAGTGATCTTAGAAGTGAAAAAAAAACATTTAATATGATGATTTCAGTCCACCATGTCATCTAATGCTTCCTGTATAATAACTAGATGCATCTTGTGGTCTAAGTTTAAGGAACCTTCTATGATATTTTTTTTTCCTGAACTGTATTCTTTAATGAGGGCAGAAGGTTAATGCCTTGGTTACTCAAGTGGATAAAGATTGGGCTTGCCAATCTTGCCTCTGTGTCTCAGATTTCATAGCTGTGGTGCACAAGGTAGAGCTTAAACTTTCTCTGACAGATTTCCAGTTAATTGTTTTCATTTTCTTTTCCTCACATCTTGTCACTTATCAGCTTTATTAGTTAGGTGGTAATATACTTGCCTGCAGCAAGAATCTGTTATTTGGTGTGAGCAGTTTAACAGTGAGAGCATATTAGAAAATGTCATCTAAGTGTAAATGAAAGCATTCTCATATGAAAGATTAGGGAAAGAGTCCATTGCAGCCATATTTATTTTGCTAGGAAAGGTGTTCTTTGTTTTCAAATTTCTTTAATATCTAGCTATTAAAATAATGGCATAATGAATATTGGTTATGTATTTTAGAGATTTTTATAGTTGATTAACTTTTAATGCCTTGCTTCTGACTATGCCTTTTCACAAGAACTTACTCTCCTGTGTTCTAGTGTGTCTTAAATTGAAATTAGAGGAGAAAAATGTGGAGAATATCGATGCAGTCTAAGGCAATGCAAAGCAAATCTGTAATCTAAAAAAATTATAGAATCTAAAATGTTATTTCCTTAAAGTGGTATGATTTTTTTGCCTTAATTTGATCTGTTTCAGAATAGCCTTTTTATTCCTGGTGATTTTTTTTAGAAAGAACTTTGATTTTGTGTGTGAATCCTTGCTGGATGGCAGCCAGGCAAACTGGGCAGGCTTTCCTAATTGCCTCCTCCCGTTTCCTGAAACCTCCTGCCACACTGTTTTATGCTCAACATAGCAAAGCATATGTTTTGATATCTAAATGATAACTGAAAATGAATAACATAAATCTCTCTTCTGAACTGAGTTTTTTGTTTGGATGTTTTGAACCTATAGATTTTGGGAAACTCAGTAGAGGAAGTGAGGTCTGAGTACAAAGCCAAAAAGGTTGTTTTTGACAGCAACATTGTGAAAAGTCTCAGGATGAGAAAGCTGACATGAAAGTTGCAGAATCAGAATCATTTTGGTTGGAGATCCACCTGTGGAGATGATCAAGACCTAACTAAGCACGGTCCAGGGAAACCTGCTCTAGCTGACCCTGCTTGAACAGGGGCTGGACTAGATGATCTCCAAATGTCCCTGTCAATCTAACCAATTCTGTGTGATTTTGAACTACTACTCTAACTCCTTAGGTTTTCCTAAGAAATCACGTGCTGTTCATTGCAGGTTTGATAATAAATAATTTCAACTACTGTATTAATGCCACCTGAACTGCTGATATCATTGGCTAGCTTGTGATGGCACTGTTGAGGTGTGCAAGCTTCCCCTTCCTTTGCTAATTCCTGTAGTCATTAACTTTGTAGCAAGGACGCAGCAGAAACAGTAAATCTGCTGTCATGGTGCCTCTTGTTCAAGACACTTTACAAACACATTTTAACCTTCACACTACCCTTATGTTTCAGCAACATGCTTTAGTTTTCATGTGTAAATGGCAAGTGTTGCTTTAGCTGGGGCTGTTGGTGGTTCTAGCAGTGTCCCAGGACTGATGGTGTGTTCTGAACATTCATGATAGCCGTTGGTCTGATCAACGGTGTGGCTCTGCTTTTTGGATGCCTGAGAAGCAGATTTGGCTGGCATGTTTTGAACATTTCTGCAGATTTCTCTGCAGACCCTGTGTAAAATCAGCCTTCATTAAGAGTTGAATGGGGGTAAAAAAAGTAGCTTTTTTACAGAGCATATATTGGTTTTGGTTGTGCGCATCTTTCTAACTGCTTGCCAGTAAAATCCACGTACAGATGTTGCCATCTTTACCTCTGAAATTAGCTTCATTAGATGATTATCTATTTCAGAGATATCCTTCTTGGGACTACATGTTATTTTTCTAAAGCTTTTAGTGGTGACTGACTTTCAGTAGCTTCAAAGAGAAGGATGTAAGCTCAGTTTTCTCTTTGTGTCCCCTGAAAGACAGAAACACAACCATATTTTTCTTCCCTGTATTTATTGTGAGACCCCATTCTGTTTCTATACCTGTCAGCTCCGTGTTGGAGGGCTTAGTCTCTCGTTCCTGCTGCTCTGCATTTAATCATCTTTTCTCATTTCCATGTTGCTCTCACAAACAGCAGGGAAGGTGTTTATGGGTCAAATGATAAAATAGCCATTGGCAAGCAGACTTTTTTTTTTCTTCCTCATCTTTGAGTTGCCATGGATTTTAGTGATGATTGATCCAAATAGAGTAGCGGAGAGCAAAGAATGAATGGCCTCAAAAAACCTCTCCAGAGATATCAAGCGTCTGGTCCATTGGGTCATGAATTCCTAAACCTGGTGATTATCGGAAGCTTGTTTAGGGTGTAACAGGGGAATTACTCGATGCTCACTTTGCTGCTCAGCCTTTCCTAGGCCTCTGCTGCCCGTCGCAGACAGAGACCGTGACACCGGGCTTTGGGCCTGGCCCTGTGGAGCTGGGTGTCCTGCCAGGCCAGTCCCGGTGGTGGGAAGGTGGCCATGCCGCAGCGGGGGAACGATTGTGAGGGCATGAGGTGGCGTTCCTGAGGCAGAGGGGAGGCCGGGGTGGCGGGAAGGCCCGGCCTCCCCAGGTCAGGGCTGCTACAGCTGTAGGGCCCTTCCCCTCCAGCCCGGTGTGAGCTGCTGCCTCGCGCGGGTCCTCAGCGGCTTTTGTTTGCAGAAAGTGGATGTGCTCCTATGCTTTGCCATAAAGGCTTTTCCCTTGCGTGTGCGCTGTCTCCATCGCTTTAATTGTAATTAGTGCAAATGCTGATGTGAAAGATGCAAGAGAAATATCCCTAAAGGTGGATTATGTTTGAAAATTAGCTTCTCTATCAAACACACAAAGGGCTATTTGAAGGCTTTTTTCCATGGTGCATTCTGGTTGGCTTTGAAAAATGGCTGAATAAATTTTTAATGATTTTTTTTTTCCCTGACGCTTCTATGTGGTTTTTTTTTTTATCCCGTGTGGGTTGCTCAGTTGAGAGGAGGAGGAGGAGGCGGCGGCATTGGCACGTCCTGAGAGGCTCTGCCGGGAACTGGGTTATCATGCTGAGAGGCTGCTGCGAGTGTTTACCTATCGTAACAAAGGATCTTCTGATGCCATTTTATTATTAAACAATCTATATTCTTTGCTCAGGCTTTTCGAGGCTCCCAGCAGTTCTGTCAGGCTAACCTTGTTGCTAAAAATGATTTTGTGCTCGTAGTTTGGTGAGTCAGCCAGGCAGCGCGGCACCAGCTGAAGCCTCTGCCATCTTATGACGAGGCCTTTATGCCATGACATGAGGCAGGAATCGTAGCCATGCTTCAGGACCCATGTGTATGCCTTTAGGTCACCCCGTTTCTTGATGTGGGTGCAGCCCTGGCCCATGCTGGTGTGGGGCTGTTGGTGTGGAACTGGTGGAGCTGCCCCAGGCTGGAAGATGTGATGTCTCTGCTGCTGCTTGGCTGTGCTCACTGTGCTCAAGTTGTATCTCAGCTGGCTTCAGTCAAAATGTGTTTTTGTGTGTGTGCTACAAACATGCTTCCAGTTTTAACTACAAAAGAAATTGCTGTTGGTTATCACTGTTGGTTCTCTTAAGGAAATAGAGATATAAGTTTCCTCTAAATGAGAGCATGACTTTGTTGGTGGATTTGCACTACCAAAGCATGTACCGCACCCAGCTCTGCTCTTTATACACAGTTGAACTCCCGTTTTTACAGTTTGTGTGTGTGTGTGCTCTTGTGTGTGTTCCGCATGGGCATTTCTGTCTTTTGCACAAATGGCTCATTCAGAGCCATTGCATAATTCATAGGAAACACTACCAGTGTTAAAGACAGAATAAAAAGCAGCTGTGCTTTAGCTTCAGTCCTTGCTTCCTTATGGTGGTAGAATTTTTAGCACTGCGTATTGAATAGTTTTAAACCAAGTCAAGAAAGAATCCATTCTATATAACAATAATGAAATTACACAATAATGAGAATAATAATGCTTGACCTTGCTTTTTCTTGGAGGTGGAAACCATGCTGAAGTTCTGTTTAAACTCAGGGCTGTGAACACTTGGCATCTTCAGTTAGCCACTTTTGACATAAGTGTGCTTACTTGGATCAAAGCATCTCTGTTTCAAAACTATGAATATATTTATGCTTTTCATTTAATCTTAGTATACATGCAATGTGAATTGAAGTGAGTTATTCTTCTATCATTATATCAAACCTTGAACTTGCAATACAGCTGCTAGCAAGGAGTGTGTGTGCCCATTTGCTCTGGGTATGCTTCTGGAGTTCATTAGGTGTATTTTCTTTCTTTTCATCTTTCGGAACCTGGAAATCAAATTCTTCCAGCTTGTTCCATTTAAATGGTATAATATTTTATGGTGAAAAAAGGATGTAGTATCTCTTTTGATTTTATAACTCTAATTGAATTTATTCTTGTAGGTGTAGCGTCTATGACTGTGCCAGTGTACATCGCAGAAGTTGCTCCACCACACTTAAGAGGCAGATTAGTCACCATTAACACTCTGTTCATCACTGGAGGGCAGTTTTTTGCAAGTGTCGTTGATGGAATCTTCAGCTACCTCGCAAAGGATGGATGGAGGTTTGTGAGTCTTCCTTGCTAAAAGCAAAACTGGCATGGTTGTGACTTGGTTGACAGCTGTTATAATTCTTGTTGGTAAAATAGAGTTTACATATAAAGTGGTAAAACTGTGTACTGAAATGGAACTTTAATAATTAACTCTTGCTAAATGATATCCATACTGCTTTCCCTTAGGCTTAATAGTCACAGTATGCTTAGGTTTTTTGACTTTACTAAACTTTAAAATGGATGAGCAATAAATATGCATCAATAAGCTTGAATGATTGTCGTGATGTTTATGAAAGTAGCTTGCTTTTTGCATTTAGAATAATTACATGCTGATTTTTCAAAAGGCAAATTTCCAGTAGGTATGATGCTGTATGTACAAAATAGAGGTGTATTTTGAATATTCTTAATGTGAGCAGTAGTAATCCAATCAGAATTGAAGTGAAGGATATTGTAGCATGACTTTGTAGTTAAAAGTTTAGGTTACAGAATAATACAAATCTCTTTTACTCTCCTTTCTGGTTATTATGTTCTTCCTGTAGACATTGCTAAGTGTTTCTGGATTGCAGCCTTTACACTTACCGTCTTTATAGTGGTGTGTCATTTGAGAGAGATGAGAAATTTCAGTGGCTTAGTATTTTACTTGCAATGCTGACTGGAAGAAATAATTAACAGAAATGTGTAGGAGGAATAACTTATAGTATACATTCCAACTTCTGGAAACTTGTGCTTAATTATGTGTGCTTTTCTCTTGAAATGCTCTTGGGAAAGGGACACAAGTTGTTGTAAGGCCTTCGATTTCTATTGCTACAGCCTGGAATCATTTTGCTATTTGAAAATCCTAATTTGAAGGATCCTCCCCCCACCCCAAAAATTTGCAATATAAATATTACTACGTCCTCTGGCTTCTAATGTAGCTGAGTAGGGATTTCTAGGTGCACTGAAGTTTGAGGTTTAAGTTAGGAGCAATTAATTTGGGACTTGGTACATAGAACTTGGAAGCTGATCCTATTACAGTATTTAAAGAATTATGCATTAAAACAAAAAGTTAATGTTTTCTTAATGAATCTGTGGTTTAATTTGTGTATGTGTGAAGATGCAAGAAGTTTGAGGTTTTTACTTTTTGTCAATGTGATTGTTTCCTTTGACTCTTTTGTAAAAAGATGTCACATGTCACCTTAAGAAAAAGTCACTTCAGGCTGATTTAGTTTAGTTAGTTTAATTCTAAGTTTTAGCTCTGCTTTGTGCTTTCCGAAAATTCATTGGTTACTTTAGCTCAGATGAAAATAGCATTTTGCATTTTTACATGAAGCTTTTGCTGACCTTTTATAATACAGCTGCATACTCTGGTGGACTGTATGTCCACTTATGGACAACTGAGTAACAGCCTTCACTGAAAGAAAAATTTAGTTTTATAGGATTGCTAATCCCTTCTGCAGTTAAAGAAATATGCTCAATTTTGAGAAGAGTTAATGGCATGCAGTAATGCATTTCTAAGTAAAATACAAACTGAAGTATTTGATCCCCTATGCCAATTACTCAGTAGTTGCTTTATTATTTTAAATTAACTTTTAGCCTAAATAATTTGCTAATGTAATGGCTCCCTATGCATGGGGCTGGATGGGAGGAATGGACAAGTGCATGTAGTTATTTAGAAATGGAGCTCTGAGTCACTGTTACTCTTAAAGGCGTTGTGCACTTTCTGTTTAGACAGATTTTTCAAATTCAGTTTACCTCAGTGGTTAGGTATTCAGCTGGGGGAAGCTTTTGTGGATGTAAATCCGTGGGGTTTTTGTTTTTGTTTTTGTTTTTTTTTCCCCATTAGTGTGCTGACACATAGGAGGTAAGGATGTGTTTGTAATCTGTGTGTTTCTGTAAATACTGGTGTATTGGAAGAAAAACACAAGCTAACAAAGTCTCTGACAAGTATTGATCTTACTGGAGCTGTGTCTTTTGTGTAATTGTTCAGGTAAACTAAGATACTTCCTAGCTTGAATTTTTTGCATCTCAAAAGCAGACTTCTAGGCTTCTTTGGAAAAGATCTGTCAAAGAGCTGGCATTGTGGTATAGGATGTATCAGTTTCCAAATCAAATAGTGACACAGGACTGACAAGTACATTTGTATGTAAATGATTATTTAAGTGAAAAATACCATTCCAGTTTGTTACACACACGGAAGTTACCATCTTTTGATATGTTACTTTGTAAATATATTTAGTTAAAGTGGAAGATTAGGTGGAAGGCAGTAACCATTGTCAAATGTAGATTTCATCTTTTTGTAAAACACTGATATATCAATATGCCACTATACCTTAAATAGGAGTAAGGCTCCCACCCACTGAAATGCTGCACAACTGTTCTGAGAACTTCTACATTGGTATAACTTATTCTTCTGTTTGGAACAATAAATAAACTACTCCGGTATAATTCAGGCCCTTTATCCTATCTGAATTGGAAAAAAAAAAAGTAAAATCTAGAACCTGTGGATTGACTAAGACTAGGAGGTTGGGTGTTTGATAGAGCTGTGTGAGATGCTGGCTTTTGAAAGTCTCCGACGATGGACATTTCCATTTCTCAAGACAACTTGTTCAGATGTTCAGTCACTCTTACTGTGAAGAATTGTTTTCCCCTCATCTTTGATCTGAATTTTCCTTGTTGCAACTTGTGACTGTTGACTCTTGTCCTTTCACAGTGTACATCTGAGGAGAGTCTGTCTCCATCTCCTCTATGAGCTCCTTTTCAGTTGTGAAAGATGCAGTTAGATCTCCTTTTGATCTTCTCTTTTCTGGATAGCACAAACCCAGTTCTCTCTTCTTTTATGTCATACGCTCCAGTTGCGTGACCGTCGTAGTGATCCATTACTATTCCTGGTTTGTAGCTTTCTGTCATGTTGGTGGTCCTACTTTTCCAGATTCAGCACAATGTGTTGAGTAGTGAGGAGTAATTTTTTCTCGCAGCCTGCTGGCTCGTGCTGGGTAGCTTTTGCTAAGGCAATAATGGTATGTTTTATGTACATGCCAAGTACTGTTCTGCTGGATTGAGCGGAGCGAAGTGAAGTGAAATTGTTGACAATGCATTGGGCAGAAACTGAGGCTCTGCTAGTGATGAGGTATCCAAGGATTCTCAGCTGCGATGCTGGAGCTGTTAATTGGGGATTGTGTCCTTGTGTATCCTCAGCTAGTTTACTGCAACCTAAGACTGAGCAAGGAAGAGTACAGATGGTCTGTCACCTGGAAAGAGTAGCCAGCAAATGCATGGGGTGAAATCACAGATGTTCACTCCTGAGTCATCATATATAAGAAGGAAAATTACAGCAATTATTGTAGCTCTTAGTGACTGAATGGCTAAGTATTGGAGTGCTACAAAAACCAATAAGGAATCTTACTTTTTCTCAGCTCTGCTTGTTCTTGGAAACACTGGATATTAAATTAAAAATAAACCGAAGAAAACAAATTTTTAACCTGACTCTTACATCAGGTTAGCATTATAAACCCTGCTAATGCCATCTTAATAGTATTGCAGCAGTGTGTCTGAGAAGGAGAAATGTTAAAGCAGACTTATTAAATTTCATGCTGGATTTTTTCAGGTCTGCTAGACATCTGGCTTCAAATGCAAAGTCTTGTACTCTGTATAGGAAAGAACTATATTAGATTTCTGAAAGCTGGCTCGCTTCATGAAATGTCTAAAATTGCCTGCCTTTACTCTAAATTGGTTATATCAAAATTGCTTGATCTGAAAATTGCAACAACTCTTGAACTTGCAATGGATGTATGCTCTTAACTGAACATTTTCCTTCTGGCCTGCTCCTTGTACTCAACTTTGACCAGAAGCATGTCAATTGGAAACTAATTTTAGTGAGCGAGCACTTTCTGTACATTTCTTTTTTATCTTGCCTGTGATAAACAATCCAACAGAGTCCAACTGGTAGCTTTAACAGGCTGGATCGAGCTTTCAGGAGCCTCAATTGATTTTGCTTCCCAAGATGATTGCAGGTACCCAACTGCTTAGTTCTGGAGGCTCTGCTGCATTTAAGGGACTGAAAGGCTTTGGAGGAGCAGAAATTAGGTAATATGAGTGTAAAGGACTAAATCTGTTTATTTAGATGCATTAAAAGATCCTTTTGCTTGCAGTTTGTCAGAATACAGCGGTTGTGGTTTTAATCTCTATGGTTTTGTTTTACTTTTCATTTGAAATAGAAAAGGCTTTCTAAATACCACTCCAATGAAGATATTGAATATACAATTTGGTGAGCTTCAATGGAGTATGTGTAAAGGTGATTCTGTATATAGCTACCAAAATGTTTGTGGAGAGGGAAGAGCATAGGAAGAAATGAGGACATTAATGAATGAGAACACTAGTGAATTAGTGACACTTACTAGATATATTGGCTGAAGACTACTCAACTAATAATCCTTCCACAAGCTTTGTGCTTTGAATTTTTTTTCTTCCTTCTACTTTTTTCTTTTTTTTAACTAATGATGAGCTATACCATTCTTAAAATGTTAGAAAATAAGAGATTTGCTCACAAATTTCTTTCTAGAGCAAGATTTACTTGTGTGATCTTTGGAATTTTTTCCTGGTTTTAGGAAGAACTTGAGGGCTCATCTTGGGGATAGGAACACTGGCCTGCATGCACATTGTTCTGGGATGGCCATCCTCTTTGCATTACCTTTTGGGTATTCTTTTCCCCATTCTCTGGTTTTCTGCCCTATTGTATTGCTCATGTTTTATTTTGTTAAATCTACACTTGACAAATCCATTTGGTTCATTGCCCTGAAACAAGGTTTCCATTAATGGTTGTGCTCTTTCCTACTCTATTAGCAATCTCATTTCATAGCATGCTTTACGAAAACATCCAGGTGAGAGACTGCCAAATCATCTGTGTGAAAGCATGCATCCTGGGGTATGAAGAGAGTAGCTAGAGGAGAGATTAGCAAATCTCCTTAATCTCCTGACGGATGTCAAGGTGTGAACCTGTTCAAGAGTACAGATTGCCTCAGTATTCAGTCTGAGGGCTAGTTTCTGGATGTGTTTTAATGATTGTAACCACTGATGTGAAACCCGTGGTAGCTGCGATAATGTACAGGTGACACCAGCACTGTCTAAAGTCTTTAATGGAAGTGAAAAAAATCTTAGTGAAGTGCAAATGGGAAAAGGTCAGATTTAAAAAGCAGAACAAAATTATGCATTGTTCTGCAATTCTTGTTATTCTTCTTAGTGTTTTATTGAAGGAATATAAAAATGTGAAGTGTGTAGACCAGAACCACCCATGGAAGGTGGTGGTATGCTTGTCTTCCACAGTCTTTCCCCTCCCCTTTAGTTGAAGTGAATAATGGTATCTGTGGGTGTCTCAGGTGTCAGTGCTGATCCTTGGAAGCATAACTGTCCAGCCAGTGGTAATTCTCTGAGTAGAGAACTAGCCTTAGTGCTTTGTATAGTAACCCGCATGGGCATCTAAAACACAGTTTTGATTTAAAACCTAACATTGCAGCTGGCTGAAGATTTACAAGCAGACTCTTTAAAAGATCTGGTGTAAATTGCTGTGCTGGTGAAATGAACTTTTTTCAGTGTTTCTGCTTATAGTCAGAAATTTTCAAAAGTAAAACGAGCATCTCCTTACACAAGAGGTGTATTCCTTGGTCACATGTGTCTGTGTGTACATATTACTGGCCCAATTAAGCATTTTTCATTAGCTGGTTTTGGATTTTTTTTTTATTTGTCTGTAAAACAATTAGCAGGATTTCAGTCTTATTTTTGCCATCAGCAGTACCCATTTATTCTCTGTTCCTTTGCTTTCTCTTTCTGTTCATTCTTTTATCTTCACCGAAAGGATTATCAGTTTCCAAACTACTAGAATGTTTCAGGGTTTTTATTTAGTCTGACTTAATGTCCTCGCGACCAATGGCTGTAGGGTCAGTGGTGGCAGAATAGTCAACATGTCCTTGAGATTTCCTTGAACTGAAAGTGAGGGTGCTGTATTCTAAAATACTTGCAGAATATGATTCTTGCCTGCTTAACTTCTGGTGATAATATGAGGGGAAAAGGGTTTGATTTGTAAATTACAGCTTGAGTAGCTATAACTGAGTCTTCTCATAGCATGTTTTTGTAGGCAAATATTAGATATTTTTTTATTTACTTATTTCCAGGTACATGCTGGGCCTGTCGGCTGTTCCGGCAGTTATACAGTTTCTGGGGTTCCTGTTTCTTCCTGAAAGTCCCCGCTGGCTCATTCAGAAAGGCCAGACACAGAGAGCACGGAGAATTCTGTCTCAAATGCGTGGCAACCAGGCAATTGATGAGGAGTATGACAGTATCAAAAACAACATTGAAGAAGAAGAAAAAGAAGTTGGAGCAGGTATGCTGAATGCTTGTTGGCCTCTGCCTATCAATGAGGAGATAAAAATCAGAAGAAATGTTGAAGTCGTAGCCTGTAGGAACTTGATGTTTTGTTTTTTCTTGTCTGTTTTGCTGTTGTTTGAAATATTTCATATACTGGTAGTTTAAAAAATGAACAGACGTTTCTATGATCCTACAGTTTTAAATTAGGTTCTGATTTCTTAAGTGAGGAAAGAGTAAAGTTGTGTAAGATTCTAAGTTTATACCACCTACGCTTATGTGAGAATAGCACTCAAAAAAATTACTCAGTTTGAGAATGCACATCTTGAAGAGTGGAAATAAATAAAATGAAGTTTGGTTTCTTTCATCAGTGGAAGAGGCCAAACAGACACTGGGGAGGTCAGAAGGTGTTTTACATGCCTGAATTATCCAGAGGCTTTATCCTGGCCAACCATATTCTAGACAAGCAGCCTTTGGAAAGATTTACAAAACTACACATGTAATACAGAGATTCTCTTTCAGTAAAGGCAGCTGCTGAAAGTCCTTTTGGTCTGTCCCCAAGAGAATAAGGCATCTAAATTAAATCCTTTTTTCACCTTTTTGTATCCTTATGCCATAATTGCTCAAAACTTTGTGTGTGCTTATGTATGTACATATAAAGCAACCATTCAGTTGACTTTGTCCGCTACATATTTTTTCCTTTGTTTTGTGCTGAAAGTGTTAACCTGAGAATGTCAACTAAGGCTCTTAAGTAAGACTCATCTTAATTCTTGCTTCATTAAACATTGATAGGAAAATACTGTAACTTCTCAGTACTGGTGGAAAGAAAAATGCAAGTTATTTTAAGTCTGTGTAAATTGAGATTCAGTATCTTATAATACCTAATCTCATTGCCACATTGAGTTTGGCTTTGAGCCTTACAATAAATAAGTATCTGGAAAAAATTATTTGACACGTATTAGTGAAAGGATTTTCAAAATATTCATCACTGGTGTGAAGCAGGGCTGGATTTTTTTTTCTCCCATTATGTTTTTGAGGCTTTGGATACTTTTTTCCAGTTCTTTGTGGCGTGGGCGGGTGGGAAATGAAGTTCATTGAAGCTGATTTGAAAAAAGCTGAAGTGGATATTCGTAGAACAGCTTGGGTTTAAGAGTCCTGTGCCGAGGTTCTTGATCCTAATTAGAGATTGGGCTGTCAAGTTCTGTGGAAAGCCACTTAATGTCTAGTATTAAAAGTTTTTATGCTTTGTAGAAATAAAAAGAGCAGGTGTTTGACCCATCCAGTCCCTTATTTTCAGTCATGGGCCCATAGGGTATGACCTTGTTTCTTTCTCTTAAATCTTTCCTTATGCTGCTGTTTTACTATTTGTAAAGTAAATGTGGTATTATAAGACTGCAGTAGGACTGACTCCAGTTCAGTCCTCTATACATTTGTAACTTGGACTGGCACGCTAATTGTGAGGTTGTTGGCTTTCTTGGATGTGCAGGTCTCTTGGTTTCCCCCACACACTCCCCGAAAAACTTACTGTGTTCCTGGAGTCCAGTTAAATTAAGCACATTCCTAGGAGAAAGCTTGGTTGCAAAGAATCAGTGTTTTTCTCTCAGGTAATCCACCGCATCAGAGTTGACACCAAAGGGCATTAAAAAAATGAGGGTAGTTAAACATATATGCTATCCTGCTTGTTATAAATGCTTAGCAAACAGGCATTAGATAGTTATGGTCACTCTTGTTTTTTATTATAACTTGGTTATAATTGCACTTCATCCCATTTAACCCGAAGTCTTCATTGTTATAAAAAGGTATGCTGTGTGTCAGCACCAAGACATACATTATTTTTGTTACCTTTCTGTGACTTAGAGGTGGTATTTATAAGTGGTGTTAAATTGTAATTACTTTCATTTCTTGAGGAGTTGTCTGGATCTTCAGTATTGAAATTGGCATGCATAGTGCAAGAGCAACTTACTGTTCATGGTTTCATTGCTAGGTGTTCAGGTATTGACAACTTAAATGTGTGCTTCTGCAAAGACTTTGCATTTTATTTTGCTGAGTGTATTTTGGTTGGGTGGTCTTAGGTTTTTTTGTTTGATATATTGATGTAGTACTTTTTTTTATTCATTTCTCCTATTTGTGGCAGACAGTGTTTTAAAACACTAGTTAATAGCAGTGACAAAGGATGGTAGTAATTCCTATTAGACATTGTGGACATCATTCCAGTTTTACAGAAAGCTTAAATGACCCTAAACTGACAGTGTGTTTATGTGGCATTCAAGAAAAGATAACTTTGTAGATCGAAAATCATCTGGCTTACTTTTAGGTAAAAGTGCCCTTTCCTTTCCTGTCTTTTCCTTTCTTGGAAAAGAACAGATGTTCTTTTTTTATTAATTGATACATGAGCATCTTTGCCAGTTTCTTAGGGCATCATTTTCTAAGTGAAAATAAGCCTGTGTTTGACTCCTCCTCTGCAAGGCAGTAACAGAATTTAACCATAACATATTCTCCAGTCCCACACTAAAAACTGTAATGCCTTTTGTAACTGTTTCATCAACTATTCTTGTCGCGGAAATAATGAATCACAGGGGAACTTCATCTGTGTTGTTTAAGCTACTTTCTTAAAATTTTGGTTTTAATGTCTGTCATAAAACCAGAGAAGTTCATTGCATTTTCCACATGGTCATCAAGCAGCTTCTGGCTTGAAAATAATAAAAATGCCTTCAGCAACCAACTTCTGTTTCAGAAGTCTTTTATACCAATGTGGGATACCCGTTAAGTGAATGATTCACATTTCTTTATACTTTCCAATACATTCAGCCAAATCACTGCTGCTGATACTGCTTAGCAGCTTATATTTTAGCATTTTCAGAGTGGTATCAGGAAAAGGATGTATCTTTTTGACAAACACTTTCCCCACGACTGGTAACGCAAATGACGTTTTTTCTGCCAGTCGTAAGTACTGCTTTTGCATGCTCTGTTCTGTGCTCCCAGTGTGACTTACGGTGTTGTAACCTTGTATTTTGAGAAGCGGAGGGCATTGCATTCTGCAGTAACATTACAAGACAAGCTGAATCTTGGTTAAGTCCAGCTAATCATCATCTGTTAACATCATCCCCCTCTCAGATGGTGGGGCTGTAGTGCAAAAGGGAGCTGACGATTGGAAAATCAAGGGTAGAAGGACTAATGAGGAAGATGTTAGAAAGAAGAGATCTCCCCAAGAGTTGTGGAAACAGTAGTTTATAGGTGCCAAGTGGCCTCCCCTTCAAATATGCTGTGGATTCTGCAGATTCCCCAGTGCTTGACTTAGGCTCTGAAGCCTTAGGGGAGAGAACGGCCAGAAGGTTGCCATTTGCAACCAAGGGAAGGGTCAAAGGCATTGCTGGGAGAGCATTCTGGGACGACTCTTCCTAGCAAAACAGGTCTGACTCGCACTGCTGCTGAATTGTAGTTTTTAGTACAGTTAAGACAGAGGTTCTGAACTGCGCTTAGTTAAAAACAGGCAATCAAATCACATAGCAATGCAGGTAAGCACTGGCACAACAGCTTAATACACAGGTATAGATGAAGTAGCTTGTGTGCCTAAGCAAATTAGAGAGTGGGATTTGTAATGCTAATTCTAGAGCAAGCACTTTGGAGTGAATTTAATGTGGTGGGTTTGTGCGTAACAATAAAGCTAGCTAGCACACCTTTTGTAAAAGTTTTACAGGCTGCCAGTGTAGTGGTCATTTCAGACTGGAAAGAAATCATTATAGCATTCAACAGAGACATTTTAAATAGGTCATTAATTTCCTATATGTTTGACAACACTCCAATGTTCAAAGCAAATCAAAGACAAGTATCGATTTGTACTGTCTTTCTGAGTGAAAGCATCTGCAAACTGCATGGTTTTTCTTCACGCCCCTCTTCTAGCAACACAGAGCTGTGATGTGCCAGGATGCATGGTATTTCACGTGAAATCAGTAGTGATGAATATAGTACTAACTTAGCATCTTGACGAAATGAATGTCATTTGCATTAAGACTAGACATTTATTTTTGTGGAGATGAAGGATGTGTAACCATGGTTCATAATTACACTGGGAGAGCAGTGTAATCTCCCCCAGCCCTATTTATCCCACACCTGTGAATTAGGGTTGAGACTCTTGACCTTGTCTTCTATGCGTGTGGACCTTTGCATTTTATTATCTGTTCTTATCCATATATATGTGTCAACTTCTGATCATGAAGATGTCTTTTTTGCACATGTTATGCTTAGTAATTCTGGCCATGTAAAACTGCTGGGGCTCACTGGTGCATGGAACCATGCTGCTTCTGTGAAATTCACGGAGTGATTTAGAAAATTGATCATTGCACTGTAATATTGTTTAACCTACCATTCTGTCTGTTATGTAAAGGGCACTGCTTCTGGATCAGACATTTTCTTGTGTTCCCATTATTTTAATACATTTTTTTGTAATAGCCTAGTTTTTTGGGGTTTTTTGTGAAACCAAGAAAAATGTGTCCATGCCACACTTTCACTCCTGTAGGCTTGACTCACTTTACTACTTTGCTGAATTTCCTATTGGATCAGTGAGTCAGTTTCCTTTTTTAGGTTTTGTATTTCCCTGTTGGAGATAAATGTGTTATGATATAAAGGTAAAATCACCTCATTACCGTTAGGTTTCAGCTCACAACTTTACCCAATTAGCTGTCAGTTTAAATGAGATATTATCAGGCAGGAGATCTAGACCCTCAGTCCTTCCTGGTTCCAGTACATTTCTATTTCTTGCACCTTTTCTTCTTAAGGAGTATTTTAACTTGTTAGTATTCCTGGCTGTGGCTTTGGCTGGAACCATTTGACCTGCATCTTTCTAGGGAGATACTAGAAGCTTGCAATGTTTTCATTCTTAATCATAATTCTCCCCTTACTTCTGGGAGTCCTTTTTATCCTAGGCCATTGCCTGCCATGCTTGGTGTTGAAAAAGATAGAGACATGCTTATTATTATTGGACATGAACTGAAATCTTACTTAATGAAACTTGGTAATGCT